AGAGAGAGAGAGAGAGACAGAAAAAGAAGAAAGAAAGAAAGAAAGAAAAACGAATACATTCTGCCAACGCAGCTGTCACTTTTCTTATCTCATCGGCTTTTCTTTATCATCGAACTAATTCGTCCAATCGTTATCTGTCCATTAATAGGACAAATGAGTTTTCGAATTACACCATTTATCGAAGAACAAATGCGACGATACCATTTAGATTTCGATCTTTTACTCTCGTACAATTGATTCATAGTCTAGAGATATCTAATACCAAAAAAAAAAACCATTTATCCAAACGAAAATAAGGTCTTACCATCAAACTAGGGTACATTAATCCGACCAATTTAATTTTCAACAAACCCTTTTTACACATACACATATACACGGGCATGAACACACATAAGGCGTACCCTTTTCATAATCACTCGTCTTAACTGATATTTCTCATCGTCTCACCCTTCTAAATCGAAATGAAGTATAGAATAAAAAAAAAAAAAAAAAAAAAAAAAAAAAAAACAAGAAAAAAAAGAGTAAAATTAAAAAAAAAATATATATATATATGTATATATATTTATACAATGTAAAAATATTCGAAGATACAGGTGAGGGTGTTGAGATGAAGGGAAAGGCAGAAGGACAAGTTTCGTGTTACTTTTGAAAGCTTGAAAGAAGTATGCCCCATCTCCATGATCCTTGGCAAGAGAGATATTCTCTCTCTCTCTCTCTCTCTCTCTCTCTCTCTCTCTCTTAGCTTCTCTCTCATTCTCTCTCTCTCTCTTTCCTTCTCTCTCATTCTCTCTTATTCTCTCTCTCTCTCTTTCCTTCTCTCTCATTCTCTCTTATTCTCTCTCTCTCTCTCACTCTCTATATCTATCCATCTCTCTCTTTCTCTGGACGAAACATAATCGTTTTTGCAGTCGGTCCGGTTCTCCGGCCGGCACCGACCTACCGGAACGCGAGGAACCCGCCCAGCATCATCTCCATCGAGGACCGGGTACGAAGTGCTGGAATATCCAGCGTGCCGGTATGCCGGTGCTGCGTCGTTCTACGGTTAAAGGAGGAGAGGGAAGAGGAGGAAGAGGAGGTGGACCAGAAGAGGAGGAGAAGGAGGAGGAAGAGGAGGAGGAGGAGGAGGAGGAGGAAAAGGAGGAGAAGGAGTAGGAGGATGAGGTGGACGACGAGTGGAAGGAGGGAGGGACGATGGGAGGGAGGGAGGGGAAAGTCGAATGGAGAATGGAGGGGAAAACGTGGTTGGCCCGAGCCTCCTAGAACGATGGTGGGGAAAACTTGTGGTGGCAGGAGCAGGAGCAACGTTAAACCCCAATGGCGTAGAGTTTACAAAGAATCTAGTCAAATCGATCTTAAATAAATCGAATCGAATCGAATTCTGAAATAATATTTCACGTTTCACGCCAATGTCGGAGCCAGTTTCCACGTCTCCCCTCTCACTCACTCACTCACTCACTCTCTCTCTCTCTCTCTCTCTCTCTCTCTCTCTCTCTCTCTCTCTCTCTCTCTCTCTCTCTCTCTCTATCTATCTTTCTTTCTGTCCCTCCCTCTGCCCCTGCCTCTTTCCCCTATCCCCTTCCCCTTCCCCGTCCTCGTCCCGTCACCGCGGTGCGACGGCGGCAACGGCGACGGCGTTAGTGGCGTCGAGGCGCCCCTTTCAGTACGAAGCCGACGACCGGGCCAGCTGCACCCGTTGCACCTGTCGTCCCGTTTTCTCTATATCCTTTCTTCTTCTTCTACTTCTACTACTACTATTACTACTACTTTTACTACTACTACTACTACGTCTTCTTCTTCTTCTTCTTCTTCTTCTTCTTCTTCTTCTACATCTTCTTCTTCTTCTTCTTCTACATCTTCTTCTTCTTCTTCCTCTACTTCTTCTACTACTTGTTCGACGTTTCGCGATTCGACGGACTCGTTTGTGGTAAACGCGACACGCGTCTGCTATAAGGGATTTACGTTTTTTTTTGTTTTCTCAACTATTATTATAATTACAATTATTATTATTATTATTAATAATTCTTATTATTATTATTATCATTATTATTATTATTATTTTATTTTCTCGTTCTTTCTTGTTTTTTTTTCTTTTTTTTTTCTTTTTTTTTTTTTATACGTATCCCTTATCGTCGTCGTTTGAACGAAACGAACGAAAGTAAAGAAAGAAAAAAGAAAAAAAAAAAAAAAAAAGAGAGAAATAAAAAAGAAAAAAGAAGAACATACGCGGAAGGAGAGAGAGGAGGAAGTAAAAAGAAAAGAAAAAAGATATAAAATAGAACGGACGCCTGCTACTTCGTTATATTTCTAATGAATATTTTTTGAGTTTTCTTCCGCGGGTGGTTTGATTTTCACCTGTTGTGCCGCGAATATCAGTGCCGATACGAAGAGAGAAAGAGAGAAATAGAGAGAGAGAGAGAGAGAGAGAGAGAGAGAGAGAGAGAGAGAGAAAGACAGAGAGTGAGAGGAAGAGGAAAGATGTCTTCTCGTCTGTGAAAGGAATTAAAAAAAAGACAATATAAAAAGAGAAAGAGATATATATATATATCCTTTATCTCTTTCATCTTATAATATATATATACATATATATATATATATATGTGTGTGTATGTATATATCTGTCTCCCAATTCTTTAAGTTTAAAGAAGAACAAAGTTACGGAGTATTCGATTGGACCAAAACTGGAGGACGTCTTCTTATCCAGCTGTGTGTGAGAAACACTCTCATCGAATAAAAGTTGTTAGGATCGGATCGAAAAAGCTGTGGGGAATCTCTCTCTCCTCTCACCGTCGGCGCATCTTTGGGATTCGACGGACCTTGGATAGAGCGCGGCAGCCGTGTGTGCCTACGGTGAGTCCTTCGACGATAAATTCCAGCCTCCCGGAGCCCGAGGGTCAAGAGCGGTCAGACCTCTCGCGCGTCGCGACACGTAGACTGGTTTTCAGAGCTTCTAGGGCCCTCTCCTTCACTCTCGCGATTCCTCTTCTTATCCTCTCGCGTCTCTTCTACTCCCTCTCTCTCTCTCTCTCTCTCTCTCTCTCTCTTTCTCTCGTTTCTTCCTTCCTTTCTTTCGGTCAACTCGTTTCCTCTCTCCCTCTCTTTCTCTCTATCTTCCTCTCCTTTTCTCTCTCTCTCTCGTTTTTTTTTCTGTCTTTCTCTCTCACACTTTATTTTTCCTCTCAAAGAAATGTACTACTACCGAAATGTAACTAACCATCAGCGATTATCAAAGATTCCGCAACGTCAGCATCGCACGGCTTCTTCACTTGCTTATCTTCTTCGTAAACAAGTATTACTCCTCTACGATTCATCTAATATCAGATTATATATATATATCGTATATAGATGATATATACATTCGAATGAACGATATATCTAATTTAAGACGATATCTCTTAGATGTATCATTTGAAACTTGACCATTTTTTCGCGAAGAGACGTTCCTATTATAGAAGAATAGAGAAACAATCATTTGTAACGTTTGTAAATAATAATGATAATATCGATGATCATGATTATAATGATAATTATGATGATGATAATAATAATAACAATAATAATAATAATAATAATAATAATAATGATGATAATAATAATAATAATAACAGATCTACGGTTAACTAATGATTACGTCGTAAAACCCCACGTACATATTGCCAACGCAATATGATAATTCGTATAATCGATTAACGTGACGTATCATCTCCTCTCTCTCCTCAACAACGGGAACGTCGTTCCACGGGAAGACGTTCTTAATACGGCCTTGCTAAATTCGCGCAATCTAATCTCCAATTGCGAAATTTTAAAAAAGATAGAGCTGCTTGGTTATACGCGTGAATTATCCTTGCGCGAAAATAACAAATGAAAGATATATTGATTATACTAGTGAAGACGAATTATACTTTTAAATATGGCCGATGGATAACTCTTATGCGTTTTTCTTCTTCTTCTTCTTCTTCTTCTTCTTCTCTTTTTTCTTTTTTTTTGTTTTCTACCTTTTATTTTTCTTTTTTTTTTTTACTTTTTATTTTTTTTTTTTTTCCTTTTTTTTTTTTCTCGATCATTTCGCACACTCAGCTATAATATATCCTTTCGTAGAAACGTGATTCATTATATTTTTTTTATCTTTTCTTTTTTTCTTCTTTTCTTTTTTTTTTTTTTTTTTTTTAATGCGTCTATACGTACCTATACGAGTACCATGTGTTTACAAATGAATTCGTTGAAGACGAAGAAAAAAAAAAGAAAAAGAAAAGGAAAAAAAAAGGTCAAAAGTTCTTATCCTCCTTAACGACTACGATCGCTTATTTTTAAACATAGCCACAACGTGCAATACCGTAGAACGATCCAAGGATCGATCGATCGATCGTTACGTCAACGATCGTAAGAAATCGCACGGCCGAAGGTCATTCTTTTCGTTTCGATCTACCTTATATACACGACGTATCTCGGATGGTTCGTCGTTGTCGTCGGTCATTTAATTCTCATCGTCGATTACTTTCTCCGTTGAATAACTTCGAACGATTTTAATGATCCGAAACACCAGGACGAATTCGTTGTTTTCTTTATTTAACGCGTGGTCGCTTAAGAAAGAGAAAAGGAAAAAAGAAAAGAGAAAAAAAAAGAAAAGAAAGAAAGAAAGAAAGAAAGAAAAAAAGAAAGAAAAAAAAAAAAGAAATATCGAAATATCTTCTCTCGATCGAACGATCCATTCTTTTTCTACGGAATAATTATATCATAACAATAATTATAATAACTGTAATAACTATAAGAACAATTATTGTTATAATAAAAATTCTAATGAAAAGAGATGAAGGAAGAAAGAAAAAAGAAATGAAAAAAAAAAAGAAAAAAAAAAAATTAAAAAATGATATAATGACTCTAAGCATTTCTCAATTAATATCATTAAATTGTTTAGAACCATATATATACATATATATATATATATATATATATATATTACTCTCTTACAAATCCTTTGACCTCGACCTCGGAAAACAACGACGGAATTACCGTTCGAGCGTGGCGAAAAGAGTTGGTCGGGTGTAATGTAACGGAAGGGGTCAGCGAGAGGTGCTCGTGCCATAAACAATGTCTCCAGAGAAATACTTGTCGGCAGTTTAAAGCCACCGGTGCAATTGCAAAATCCAAGTAATCGTCGTCGTCGTCGTCGTCGTCCGACGTCCGACGTCCGTTACCCGTCGTCCGACGTCCATCGTCGTTCTACGCTCGTTGTCACGATGACAATCGGCTTACGTAATTTCTCTTGTCAACCGTGACACCTCGTAAAATATCTCAAGCATTCGAGGACAACCAACTGCTCTTTCGCACCTCCAACTTTCGCGCCTTCAACGCTCGAGATTATTAATCGTTTTATTTTGGGATTGATTTAAAAAAGATAAAAAAGAAAAAAAAAAGAAGAAGAAGAAAAAGCATTGATACAATTGGAATTAATGTGACGAATAGAAAAAGTTAATCGTTCATTTAAATTCAACGATCAATTAATTAATCTAATAAATATTACATTAATTATTATTTAATTATATATAACAAATACGTATGAGATCGGTGACGACAAATAATTTTACGCCAATTATTACGCGTTAAAACGATAAAACGCACCGATTATTTTTGCACCAATCTAATACAAAAAAAAATATACGATCAACTATATAATCCGTTTAACTATATAAATAAATAAAAGAAAAAAAACAAAATATATATATATATATATATAAACATATACACATATACGATTATATACTATAGTTGAATAATTGGAATTAAAAATTGTACGATCTGAATGCAATTCTTTAGAGGCTTTATTTCTTAATAATAATAATAATAATAATAAAAAAGGGGAAAAAGAAATAAGAAAAAAAAAGAAAAGAAAAGAAAAGAAAAAGAAAAAATAAAGGAAAAAGAACCAGGGTATACCGTGTTGTAGCGAGAAGTTAAAGCTTTCGAGTCGTTGATGCGGATTAACGTCTCGGGATAACATCTCGCGCTACGATCTAAGCAATAACGCGTAGTGCATACCCTAACGATAATCAGATTGGACAGGTATTGGATACACAAGAATCGAAAGTTCCGACGAAACGATATATACATACATACGTACATACATACATACATACATACATACATACATACATATATATTTATATATATATATGTATCCACGTACGCTTCCGTTCTTAACGCTTGTCGATCCGTCGTTACATTAGAATCGTCTCATCGAAGACCATACTCGACATACTTTCTATAACGATGCGTCCTATTGGGTCACGGAGGGGTTGAAGAGCAAAGGGAGATGGGAGATGTGTAGGGGGAGGGAGGGTTAGGAAGGGAGAGAGGGGTGTAGACATCTGTTAAACGTGTAACATTTACGAAAAAAATCTTTCGCAATACAGTTTGTCGGATACGTACAGTCGATTAACTTTTACGTATATAACATTCATCGACAAATAGAATGGATATTTAAATTAACTAGGATAATCCGATTTCGACGAAAGTCGAAAATTGATTTCGAAATAGCCACGATACCCAATTGATCAAGCATTAGAATCGGTACGATACGATACGATACGATACGATACGATACGATACGATACGATACGAAATTGAATTAGACCGAACGAATTAAATTAAACGATAAAAGTTAAACTTTCTAATGTCTACGCACAGAGAATGTTATAAAATCGTCCAATCGATTAAGTCGTAAACCAATGTATTTTCGATGAGTGGGTAAATAAATTACTCGCCTACCTAACTATTTATCTTCGAATACGTACAAAGTCGTTTATAAAGATTAACGTTAACTAAAAAGTGCGACTGTACTTACATCTACTTAGCAGCGAATGGAAAGAGAAAGAGAAAGAGAGATAGATTCCGACGTCTGGCACTTTCGGAGATCGTCTTTTAAACGAGAGAATCCATTTTTTATCTTTCTCTTTTTTTTTTCTTTTCTTTTTTTTTGTTACGTTCGTCTCGAATCGTTTAGTTCTTAGGTTAAAACGATCCTTTTAGACGAGACGAGGTAAATCGTGTCGGTATACAACGACTACTATTCTCGTCTTATCGGAGAGAAAGAGAGAAGTCGTTTCAAAATACTTCAATCGGCAAAAAGTAAATGAACTCGACCGTGAACGGTAAACTAAACTGTAGTAAAGAGTGACCTTTACTGTTCTAGTACCACAATAATAATAATCATTTACTTAGATTGAATGTTCAAAAGAGAGAGAGAGAGAGAGAGAGAGAGAGAGAGAGAGAGAGAGAGAGAGAGAGAGAGAGAGGGAGAGAGAGAGAGAGAGAGACAAAGAGAAAAAGCCGAGAGAAAAAGAGATAAAAATAATAAACAACATAAGAGAGATAGATAGAGAAAAAGAAAGAGAGAGAGAGAGAGAGAGAGAGAGAGAAATAATAAACTTTGAAGAAAAATAAAAGGAGATGGAAATTATAAAGGGTACAAGTGAGACAGAGACAGAGAGATAAATAAATAGACAGATAGGGGGAGAGAGAGAGAGAGATGAAAATAATAAAAAATATAAGACGATAAAGACAGAAAGGAACAGAGAGAGAGAGAGAGAGAGAGAGAGAGAGAGAGAGAGAGAGAGAGTTGTACTTTGGAAAGAGGCTAATGTGCGAACGATCGTATAGACTGTTCGTTCTTTTTGAATTACCTCAGGCTCGATAATTTCTCTTTACGTTTGATTCTACGATAGAAAAAGGAAGACGCGAATTCTAACGTTCTTAACGAAGTTAACGAACATAAGCAACCGGTAAAAAGACATTATTCGCCAGATATGGAGGAGGAGGAAGACGAGTACGAAGTAAAACGATGGCTCTCGATG